ATGGAGGACAAATTATATACGGCCCACGGATAAGCTTTTTCCGGATCCCTGAGAGGATGATTCGAATCATCCCTTCCGAGCTAGAATCGTGGTCGAATGAGATCATGCTCTGGTGGGAATGGGAGCGCAGCAGAGGAGTCTACAATCACTCAGGGAACCGCGGATTCGCGCAGCTAGAAGCAGTATTACGAAATCGTGCGTGCAGATAGTGTCCTCAAATCAATACCAATGGCGGACAATGCCTCCATGGAATGCCGGACGCATAATTCTCTCCTCTAATCGGTTCATATGTAAGCATTGATGAAGGAGTTGCATGGGACGCGGAAACCCGTAGAAGGGCTGCTTCCATTATGAGTGAAAAGTATTCGGTCCCTCTTCTGTCGGAAAGAGCCCGGCACTTCCGCGAGTTCACTCTCCTAAGGGCTGATACTCTAAGGAACGTCCTCAGACTCCTGCTGCCGAGAACGTCTCGAGATCACTTTGAACTACGCCGAATGTGAGGCTGTTGCTAAGTGCATTCTAACAAGCACCGTCGAACATGCTTTTGAGCCTATGCACCCTGTCCCTGCGCCCTGTCCTCAGAGAAGAGCTCAGTTGGATGCGGCTCCGACGAGCTCGTGACGAGTCCAAACGACTTCGATTCCGTCCGGCTTAACCCCACGCTCCAGATTTCTGTTCGGGGATGTCGCCGTGCCGAAAACTTCATAGAACCCGGGCCCTGGGGAAACCCAGGGATTCGGTTCGATGATATGCTCATCAGGAGCCGGCAGAGTTTCTGAAGGGATTGATGATCCTGGAAAGCGCCCGAGGTTCGAGGAGGCTTTTCGAGCAATGGAGTCTTCCAAGGAGATCATTGTCCCTCAACAATTTCCCAGAGATATTCCAGCTTTGACAGCAAACGATTCTTTGTACGCAGAGTCTCGCTCGTCCCTCTGCGCTCGATTCCGTCTTTGAATCTTGCTGAGGCTGCAAGTTTTTTCTGTGAAGTCTTGCATCCGTCGGCATCATATTCGATGCTCCTGTCTCTAGCCTGGGGTGGTTCTGTCTGCTATCGAGAACGCAGTTTCGTCCGTGAACAGATTCCCTCTGATTCCCTAGCCTTGACCGGATGCTTGCTTCAATCGAGACGCGATATGCATCATTCACAAGCAATCAAGTGATACTCAGTCTTGTTCGCAGAAGTTTGCTCATTCGCCGGATGTCTCATATCGCGCGACGGCTCGAGGGACGTACCGTTCATTTTTCAGCGCTGAATCATATGCATGAGCTTATGCATCAGCTGTTCCAAGGGAGAGGCTGCGAAGTTTCTCTCGATCAGATCCCTTCCCCCTTATCTGTTCTGTCAAGCAGCTTCTCCGTAGAAAATCCCGACAGATGAGTCTCCGGGCAGCGTCTCGAGACGGTGCATGGAAATATATTCCCCGTTTCCCGCAGAGCGGAAGATGACCTCTTGTTAGGAATAACTGTACGCAATCGAGGACTCCCGAGCGATTGCGAGTCCTCCTCGGTACCTCTCCCCCAATATCCGCGTCGATCGAATCAAGCGCAAAAAATTGATCAGCGGAGCTGTGCTCGATAGAAATCTGCTAACCAGGCTCCCGAAAGGTCCGCAGCACATCTCCTGGGGCATTGGGGTCTCCCCGGGCCCGACTGTTGGAGTAACACATCAGACAGCAGTCCTCCTATGGCTCCAACTCCGGCTGCGGCGTCTTCTCCGCAAGATCCTCAAGCTGGAAGATACAGCCCGCGGGAGTTTCCCACTCCCAGTTCTCGACTGAGATCGTCAATAAGAGTCTTGATTGGTTTCCAGCTCAAATCAGTGTGAGAGAGACTTCCCCGAGAGAGGTTCGTGGCTCCGAGCAGGTTGCGTCGACATTGGAGCGAGTAGTTGCCCGAGGACACAGGGTAGAGCGAAGCTCGTTTTCAATGAACATGCGAGACACCAAGCACGACAATGTGCCGAGTGCTTCGATGAGGGAAACACTTACTGGGTAGAATGCGGTTCTCGGGTGGTCGGGCGTAGACTGCTTAGGTGGAGGGCGAGAATGAGCTTCGTTCTCGACACAATAACGGATAGGTATTCGCCCGGACTCTTCGTCCGAGAGACGTTTCCATACTACTTCTTCACTGAGGGAGATAAGGATCCGATCCAAAGAGAGCGAAGAAACGAAACTTTCATGCAGCAGTGTCCTGAATCTCGATCTAGAACTCTCGCTTGATGAGCTCCACGGGCATGAGGGAAAAAATCGAAAACGCTTGGAGCTGACGGCCACGTTGAGTGATGCATACATCCGTGTCAATCTCCCTGGGGAGGCTGTCGGGGACTAAATTGCGCTCGTAGTCGCTGGAAGGTCCCGAGTTTCTGGCAGGTATGCCGCTCCGAAACGTAATCTCACCCCTCCGATCCCGAGGTCGACGGCCCGGCCGACAAACTTTGAGTTGAGTGCGCATTCGATCCCTTCAGAGGGATTCTGTCTGCTCGGCAGGCAGAATTTCGTCGCTAATCGTCCCTAGACTTGGGAACCCTGCAACTGTCGGGCGCCATTAGGCGAAATCGGGCCTCCTTCAAGATAGTTCAAATGACTTTAGGTATTTTTGATGATCCGGTGCGCGCTTTTCGCCTCCTAGGCCGGTAAGGTCCGTACTCGGAGGTTCGATTGAGTCGCAGATATCTGATTCCTGCTCGACGGGGCTGGCCCAAGGTCTTCTTCTGCGAAGAGGTCCCATTACACGAGATTCCCATCCCGCCCGTCGAATCGTGATGAGTGAACTTCTCGAATGAAGCAACGACCGATGCTTTGAACCTTTGCGGGGAGCTTAAACTCCGGCTACTCCGAGCCCACTCCCTCTCTCGAAAGGTCAACAACAGGAGGCTACGGAGTTCATCTGCGAGTTCAAAACAAGCCGGAAGCGAATTTCCAACTTTTGGCGTCGGCGATCGAAATCCGAGAGAGCAGCAAGGAGCAGGACAACGGCAGCGAGGCCGTCGTAATACGGAGGCCGCGAAACTCAACGTTGTCAGAGAAGGGTTTCCACAACGCAGACGTGACCCTCCGAGGAGTACCTAATTCCAGGAGCAGATTCTCTCAAGGGTGGGCGGAATCGTGACCAAGTTTGTTTATGATGGTGAAAAATGCATCACTCCTCGTGGAAGATTCCAAGGAACCTCTCACTGATAAGCATCGCCGTTAGGGTGAGGTGTTGATGAAGGACTCGACAGTTCTTTGTTCGCCTCGGACGGATGTCTCGCATAATCTATGCAACCAATGTGGTTTTGAGATCACTCTTGTTTCATGAAAAAATACCGATGCATAAGATAAGTTCGACGGGGCGTGGAGGACCATCCCAACGATTGTGTCATGCGTTATGGGATTTTCCTATGCAAATAAGAGGTTTGATAGGCGTTCTATTCCTCAGTATTGAACCGAGGAACTGGGGAAAGTAAGCGATTAGACATGGGAATACTTTTCCCTCAGAAACCCGTCCGCCTTGATCTGGGTCGGCTCGCAGAGGAGGCATTCAGGATACGACCTGAGGTCGCCAGGTCAAGAATCGTGAGAAGCATCCTCCACGAAGGAAGTTTTCGTGGATAGAGGATTCACTGATAGAAGAGCAATGAGCGACAGTCCTTTGTCATGACGTCATGACTCTTGCTGTGAATACTTCATGGGGTAATCGATGAGCTCTCAAACAATCACGATGTCGCGGTTGGAGGCGACGTTGTCGTACGCTTCCATCTGCAGAGATCGGATCTGAAAGTGGAAACAGCTCGGTGTATTGCTGTCACGATCGATACTACATGTGTAGGTACAGACAGTGATCATGGATCAGATCTCCCGCGAAAGTCGAGCGACTATGAGGGGCTCCGACAGTGATTTGACCATCTCTGATCGGATGAACGTACAGTAGAAGCTCGTTACTACGAACACGGAGGTACCGACGAAACTGGTTCGTTGTACCGAGTTTTCGCTGTAACGAATGCCGCTCAACACTTTCCCTATGGCGAGCTGGCCAAAGGAGGAGAAATTCTTGTTCGTTGTACCGAGAAATTCGTTGTAATGGGGGTCATTATAACGAGCTTTTACTGTATAAGGAATAATATAAATAATAAAGGAGTTTATGAATCGAAAATACATCTCTACTTCGACTGCATGTAGGGACAATCCTCCCCGCTTCGGAGATTGGAAGCTCTGGAAGATCCCGTTCTTCATTCGAATCTCTAGTCCACAGCAGCCCAATAGAATGGAGGCAGATTCTGCCGAAATGAACGATCAAAATCGATATCTCAAACCGAAATATCTCTGATTTATCCCACAGAACTCTAGCGCCCAGCCTACCATCATCCACCATGTGCTTTGTGGCCAGGAAGAGGGGCAATGAGGATCTCGCTAGACTGGATGGGGCGCTTAAACAGGTCAAGTGCGAGATTGCTATGACTACGTCAACGGGTTATGACGTGAAAGCTTGGAAACAATGGAAACTCGACACTGTCGTCCCACAAAAGTATTGCCAGGGATGTCAAGCTCGCCTTCGCGTAGCGCCGGACCTCAACTCATTGACCGCGAAATTTGTCTTGAATCCAAGCTCGAGGGACATCGAGTGTCTGATAGAGTGGGAAGGGTCGCGGCACAGCGCAAGGAGGAGCCGAGGACGAGAAGATAGCGTGAGAGAGGGGGCACTTCATCCGGAGAGTTCGCATCGAAAACAATTGGACCAAGGCCTTAAGCAATACGTTCCCGGCGATGACGCCTTGAGTCTATATGAGACCCACTTGAATGTTTCGTCTCTGTCTGAGCGCATCGTCCACCGTCTCCATTTCACCCAGACTGTCTCGGACGTAGTGGTTCCACATCAACGGGAGAATCCTCCCCCTCGAGCTGGCTCCGAGTCGAGAAAAATCCAATGACCCTCCTCTTCGGCTCTCAGCTCTTTCCCCTGACGTCAGCGCTACGTCATGCCTTCACTAAATAGAGCGGAGTCGAGCCGAAGTCCTCACTCACCTCTTGGACTTCGGACAATTCTCAGCGTACTACGATCGTCGCGCAACAAGTGGGGACAATCCGTTTTCCTGATTTTCCACTCCGTCATATCATCGGACAAAACGTACGTCAACCTGATCGTCTTTTCGTAGATATGTACTTCACCCGACTTCCCATCCTATCGAACTTCCCGTCGAACTTCTCCCCAGCGTCTTCTTGACAGACCTTATTCGGACCCAGAGAGTATTCGTGATTGAGTACATTCGATAGGAATAATTGCGACAGAAAATTCCGGCCGTCGTTGTGACGACCTTTCTCTCTGGTAACTTCCGAAAGCCGTATCTGAGAAACTGTTCTTGTCATTACTTGCATCATTTCCGGTATTCAAGACGATTCTGGACGACAACCAGAGCGAGATTGGCATTTCTCCAAGCTGTGCCGCGTTGGGGTGAGGTGTGAAAATACTTCATATGGGAACACGCGCCTCTCGCCTATCTGTACGTTCGGCCTGTCGCCAGGTGCTCGCCCGTAACACATAACGAAATCGAGCGCCGGCATATTTTGCGTCAGGTCCCGTAAGCGCCGCCGCTTACTTAAAAACGGAAGCCATTTGGACATTCCATGCGGAAGTCCGACCCTCACTTCGGGCTTTTGCCATAAACTCAAACTCCCTAGAGCCATTCTCTCTAGTCATATCACTTTCCTTCCCCCTCCCCCGCCTCGATTCTCATGTTCAGTCATCTCCTTTCTTGCTAGTTTTCCTTCCGAAATGCCATTCCCGCCATCTTCATGTTACCCTTTGAAAAGGAACGGTGGCGCTCCAGCGCTCGGTGGCATTTGAGAAAGTTCACTCGCCTCGTCGCCGGCGGCATCGGAGGATCGGAAGGAATACCTCTTGAAAAAAGATCAGTCATTCCACTGGACGCTTCGGAAGAAAGAATCGATCAGTATGACGAGTCAAGCATCGTTTCCGGACGTTGCCATGACGTTTCTTCTGGAAGTCCTCGAGAATGATCGCTAGCATGCTCCGAGTTAGGCCTCACTAGGGCTAACGCTTCAGAGCTTCATGGCCTGCGCGATGACTGGACTTCCGTCTGGAGGCAGCTCCTCAATGTATTGAAAACTTTTTTTTGGGTGCGGGAATCGCTCCGAGCAAGTCACAAGAAGAAACGATAAACAACGTTTTCATACGAGCTTGCGAATTTTGTCGCCGGCCGACCAACGAGAAGGCTTTTGTACGCAAATACTCTAGTCGCGCAGAAGGCCACCTCCGCAACGCCCACGCAACTTCTCTAGTCTTACCGACGGTGTACGCGGAGCATTAGCGACTTGGAAAGCCTGCCGGTGAGGCGGCTGTCCTCCTCCAGTTGTCGCACGGCCACAAACGAGGCAGCAGGCAATTAGCGAGTGACTGAGTCGTCGACACATTGGAGTGGTCCTCAAATATGGGAAGTTGTAGAGAGACAAGAGCAGATCTCTTGGGTCTCCAAGGAGCGTTTGTCGATTATGAAATTTCTTCCTCCACAGATGAAGCAACTTGTCGTTCTGGGAATGCTCGGGTGTCTTGCCGCAGCGTCACCATTAGGACTTCTCGGTGATCCCGAGGCGATCTACGGGCGCCTCCAACGGAATTCATATGTGCCATACCCCAAACCGGATTACACACGGCTCTATCTAGCGCTGAAAAACGCTCGACTTCAAGATCAAGAAGCTGAACAGGATTATGATTATGGACCCAGCCGTCCGATCGGAGCGATCTTCGAAGCGCCTGAGGATGCCATGCAGTATGATGACACTCGTGATGATATACCTAATCAGCAACAATGGGTCGACTACGGTGCCACGTGAGTATACGAGAGGGGGAAGCGTAACTTCTGAGTGTTCTTGGAGCCGAACTAACGGCTCGCGATGCCGTCGTCGAGGTACGGTCACTTGACATATGGCGCATCATCGTTCAGGTACGACGCACCCATCGACGCGGAACAGCAGAAGGAAATCGTCCGCCAAATCATGAGCAACTTTATCGACAAGAAGTCGGAAACCAAGAAAGCCGGACCCGTCACTCCGAAACCAAAGACATCGAGCGTTCCTGCCTCGTCGTCATCGGCACCAACGGCCACGCCGACGAAAGCGCCACAGAAAGCAAAACTGGAACAGCATAAAGAAGACAAAATTCCCAAAGTGTCCAAGCTCCACGGACAGAAGGAGTACGCCATGCTCAGGCCCGCAGGAGCTGAAGCGCGGCGACCCCTTCCGGATCTGTGGCCCGAGGATCCTGAAGTTCAACAACTGGTGAGTCCATCCATATCCGATCTCTACCCGCGCAATCCTTTCTCCGCATGCCACTCCCGCCCCTTCCGCCTCGATGCCGTAAATCTTCTCTCTGAACCCGTTCACTCAGATCTCGCGCCTAGAGCGACGAGACAGCAATCTCCCAAAGGGTGGAGGCGTTTGAATCGTATTTTGAGCTGCGGGCCTGAACCGCTCGCTATAAAAAACAACATCAAATTCCGGTGGAGCCCAAAGAGGGAGGCCCAAAAATACCGGTCTACTGATTTTGGAGCGAGTTACCATACCGCACAGGATCACGTACATTCCGGAACTCTCTCTCTTTCGGGCGACGAGATGTTGACGACGGCAACATCAACCGCGGCTAAATTTGGCTTCTCTATGACAAAGCTCCTGTAGCTCAATCTCTACTGAGCTAAGCCGCATGCTACCTCGACGCCGGAGAATCCCTAAAGCCGGTGACCGATTCGTTTCCCATCGCATTCGTTCTCGGGAGCTCCATGGGAAGATGATCCGAGGGAACAAGCAGAGCTGGTTCGTCGGCCTTTACTCGTCGGAGGTCGGAAAGGTTTCAGGTCCCCAGCCTGAATTTCCCTGATTCCCCTACGAGGGACGCGACTGGAGGTCTGGCATTGGAGGGTTCGAATTTTCCGCGGGCTTGGGGGAAGGAACCCATTCCGGCGAACTTTTTTTCCTAATTGGATTTTCCTCGCTACGCTGGAATCTGCGGAGGACCCCCTCCCCCAACTCCGTGGTCCTCCGTCGACGCAGCTCATACTTCTGAAATAAGCTCGAGCTCTGCGTGAGAGAGCTCCAGAAAAGCTGAGCGCACTCCGACGAAATTGCGGAGCAGAGCAGGGAATTTCAAAACCTGTCGTCGGCGCAGGAACGCGCCCCTCTTGGTGCGGGACTTGTGGCTTCTGTCGAATGCTTCTGGCCCCGATCCGGCAGTCAGAGAAAAAAACGCTCCCCCGGGTACTCGCCCTTTTCCTTTTTGGTGAGGACGGCAAGAGCGCCGTCACCGATTTTGGCGGTCGTCGTACATCGAACAGATAATTCGATTCATTGATTCGAGGTCGGGGATGACGATTCCTTGGTTGCCGCGCACCCTTGGCTTGTTGCCTCCTTCTTCCCCGACTCGAATCCTGCGGCTCCTCCGAACGGCCTTGCCAAGGACGAGAAGGCCCGCCTCTCGTGCGTCAAGCCTGACGTCATAGGTCCTCGACCAATGGAAGCCTAGGACTCCATGAAGTGGCGTACTATTCTCAATGAACGTAGAAGCTTGGTCCCCCGAAAATCTATTTTTAGAGCAACCTGTACCCTGTGGAAGGAGTCTCGAACCAAAGTCGCCCCCGTTGCTGAATTTTACCCCCTGCATCATCAGGACCGCTCGCCCTCGTGCGTTGATTCCTCTCTGAGACGTTATCGGATATCCAGGCTGGTGTCGAAGGCTCGAGTAAAAATTGACACGCCGCCACGCAAAAGAAGATCATCCCATGAGGTGCAGGGCTCGTCAGCCATACCCCAAGTGTGTCTGATGCGCAAAAGAGAGCCGATATGTGGGAAATCCCGCGAGGGGATCAATAGATCGAGTTCACTCTGGAAGACTCAAGTATTAGATCGTCGTAGGGTGGAATCAAGAACGATATCTGGTTTGAAATATCTCGCACTCGATAGCTGGATTGGTCAACAGCATTGAGTCTCGTGTAGCCAAACGGGACCCTGGCTAGTGCTAGAGGAGCCCGAAATTATGTGGCTTCGAGGTTTCGGTTATCTCCGATGCTGCGCGTGTTCGTCCCCCGTTCTCCGAACGTGATGAGTGGCAGCAGAAGTACGCAGTTTCAGCCGCGGTTCCGCGGATGATTCCGCTCATTCCGCACCATTGACTGAAGCCGTCGAGGCCCGCTGACTGACTGAAACTCCTCGATTGGGCAGAAAATTAGTTGATCTGCTCCTGTCCACACAAGGACAATGACGCAGAGGCCTCTAGCCAGGCGGCGGCGCGGCATCCTGCGGAGAATCGTTGGAGCCGGCGAGCGGGCGAAATCGCCGGCGCGGAAACTCCACGGAACGAAGGGATCCACGAGGGTAGAGGTAGATTGCGCTGGCTGGTGAGCTAAAAATAGCAACATCCATCCATCCCTCTCACCGCAGGCCTTCGCAGCGTCGATATAGTCAATAGCTGAAGCAGGCGCAGCGGAGAATGGAAAGAAGCGTCGTAGACTGCTTGGGAGAGCGGCACGTTTTCCATGCAGGGTATTCAGTGAGTGTTCAGATCAAGTGGCAGAGGATACGCCGATAAGCTGTTCCGTCGACCCTCTGGTTAGTCGGTTCATTCGTCGAGCTCGCAAAGGAAAAGAAACGTCGAAATGACGGGAATTCGCTCGAAATGTCAAGGGTTACTGCACCTTTCTCGGCTGCCACTGAGGGCGCTGTGCGAGCGCACCATATGCTGTCAGTGGAAGGACCGAAGGAAATGTGCGTGGGCTGGTTCCTCGAGCCGACGGTGCGGTGCCTGGCAGGCCGACTCCGTCTCTCAACTCTCAACATACGCCCAACGATCTCATATGGGAGCGTATTCTTGTTTGAGTGATTGGCTTGTCCTCGGAGCTTAGCCATACGATATAGCATACGAGGCGTTCCCATCGGAAGCTAATGAGCGCGACATACAATAGAAGATTCATTCCGCCGAAAATATCGAATCATGAGATGGCGCGATCCCTGAAGAGTCCTCTGCCCCGACCTGAGGGCTCTTCGGACCCCTGACGTTATTCGGAGTACGAATCGTTGTCAGCACGGATCTGTGTGCGGGCAGAATGGGATATTCCGCTAATCGAGTGTCTCAGTTCCGAGGAAGGATTCCGTTCGCCTTCAGCGGGGATGGAGGAAAAGATCAAGATTTGGCTCAGCGATCAGAAGGTTCGAGACTCTTGCGGTATCGAACGATCTGGAAGCAGGGTCGATTGTCCCTTGTCATTGGGTCGATATAGCCTGAGCCCCTGCGTGGTGGCGGCCTCGTCGTGGGAAGAGCGAATCGTAAAGTTATGAGAGAGAGATTGCGTCTCATCGTTAGAGTTGACATTTTGGGGAGCGATCGATCCCCTACGATAAAGTATGGCAGGCAAGTCCCTTTCCATCACCCCCTCTCTCGCGCAGAGCTAGCTTCTAAAAAGCATCGATACCTGCAGTCCGAAGAGCTAATGATTTCCAATCTATTGTTGCAGAAACGAGCTGCTCGACGATTGTTCCGTAAAACCTCTCCTCCTGTCGCCGACGAGTTGACTAGCGAGTTGGACAGCCTGAAACCTCAGCGATTGGACAAGCGAAGCGTGATCAAGAACTAGGACCGGGACTCATGAAATTACAGTATACGCTTGTATACTTCTCCACATCAACGACGCTATTTTGCTGGCGGCAACGTCAGCGGAACACGATGACCGGCGTTCCTGAGCCCTTTGTATTGCATTCGTTGAATGTCCATTGTTTTGCCTCCAGCGTACCGGATAACAAGGGGACGACGAATCCTTTCAAGAAGTCGGGGAAATCCCCTCCGAATGAACCGCAGACACCCCTACTCCAGCCTACAACTTCCAACACATAAATATTTGTTAAAAAATTTGCTGGCCAGCAAACAAATCATAAAATGAGAACGACGCGCGAATCTGTCGCACCACTGTGTTCGGTCGATCGATCGATGGATGACGAGTCGAATGGATATCGGATGCGTCTCGAGTCTCTGGTCCTATACCCGGAGAACGTGCGCTTGGTCGATATATCGTCAGCACTTGAGCAATCGACTGATGAATATCGTTACGGCGCCTTCCTTCGATGCAATGCAGAACCTTTACTGGATAGTCTGTACTGTTTATCGCGGCAGAACCGTATCCGCCCCTTGCCGCCTGAGAAGACCCGACAGGATCAACAGGTCCTTGCAAGACAAGCTGTCTGTATCTAGAGCCAACCTTGTTCAGTCATGCACTTCTGACTTCTGACACTCATAGGGAAGAGAACGAATCCCCATCGGAATGGGGCGGGAAGATTGATTCCCAATGAAGAGGAATCGATCAAGAACAGGAGATGATCTCTGGATATTATTATCGCCTCACTAAGTTCAGGTTCAGAGAGGAGGTATGCATAAGAAAGACGAAAGCCATGAAGTCGTGTTGTGAAGAGGGAGCTCGCAAAAACAGCTGGTCGACGCGTCATACCCTTCTTCTCGCCGCGGACCTGGAATACACACCTACTCTCGGGAAATAGATTTGACCCCACCCTCTGATCTTATTTCTACCTGATGTAACGCAGCTAGGGAAGCGAATCCTCAGTCTTGATAAACATGTCTTGCCATCTTAGGAAATCACTCGTAGCCAGGACCTCACCGATGCGTTCGGGAGGTTCGACTGGATATCCAATCATATGTGATACAACACGTTTTTTGAAACCGTGCGGTCTCATTAATCGATGCCCACTGCTTCAGCCCTCGATGGTGCAGTCCCTTCGTCCTGATGAATCAAGCACTCGCGAAACGAGAGGAAGGGAACATCTCTCGCGCTGACAATTAGTATCGTTGTAAATAAACTCTATATTCTCTTACGAACTTATCGATTGCTGGCAGCGACCCGGAAACTATTCAGATCGGGAGAGCTTCTGAAAGATAGGAATTTGACTCGCTCGCGCCTCGAGCGATCCCGATGAGGAGCCAGAGGAATAATCATTGGTCGAACTCCGGGATACCTCTTTAGCATTCCAAGTTTTCCAATCAACTCAGATCAATGGTAATACCTCATGGGAGAAGAGTCATCGGGAATCCGAGATGATTTTTCACATTCATTCCTTGCTCCATCATGTAGACACCACAATGACCCTACATGATCGCACCGTTGCTACCGAAAATTGGCGGTAGATGCAAAGTTCGTCCCGGAGAGAACCGGAAGGAATGACCCTCCTTTGAAACAGTCAACGTCGCCCTACGGCATAGAATCTGTGAAAACAGTCCTCGGCCGGAATAAGGAAAAACTGAGAGGGTGATCTCGCCTCCGAATGGATCCACCGCGAGACAGAATGATATTAAATCACAAGTGATCTCCTAATCGGGATAATAACAATAATGATCTGATGCGAATTGCCTATGGTAGAAATGATACGTATTTTTTTCTCTTGGAAGTTGCTGTCAATAAAAATTAGTCTCTTATATTTTTAAACCTGGAACCGACGTTCTTCTTCTTTCACCTGGGAGTCGAGACAGATTGCGTACATCTTCTGCATGCATATCGGAAGGAACAAGGAACTTAATCAGCCCCCTGACTTCCCTCATCGGTGGTCATTCGCCACGCTCGACAACCAAAGCACGTCACATGTGACTTGGTCTTTGGTATCACCCGAACCGAGCAAGCTTCACCGTAACAAAAACGAAGCATCGAGGCTTCAGCGAGACTGCTCGATGGTTTCTCCGGAAAATAATGCTAAGGATGGAATCGATCCCGATAGCTTGAGCAGACCCCTCGAAAATTCTCCCGAGAGCTCGCATCCGCACAGAGCTCCGAGCTTGACTCCGCTGAAGCTTCAGCAAGAGAAGCCACGGGAGTTCCAGTCTGAGCTGTCGTCCTTGTCACCAGCTCGTTACGCTTCCCATCTGCTCAAACACCACGAGTATACATTTTCGAAAACTTGCGGGAGTCGCGCGCCGAGTGTCAGTGAAGACTCCGATAGCACATCGGTCGGAGCCATTCTGCGAAGACTGACTGTGCGAATTGCGAATCTGCGGGGCGTCAGGGATGCGGATGAGCCAGAGGCACGCAGGAACGTTGTCGAAACCCACGTAAAAGAGGCAACAAAGCGAACACGGAGGCACCTGTCTCGAAATTACAGGTCGAGAAACGGGGAGCCCGTTTCTCCAGTGCCTGAGCGAGAAGGAGAAGATTCCCAGTCACGGAATGACTTCAATCAACTAAGTGACTGCTCACCTGATGACTACATCTCGATCCTGCATGATCTACAGAATTTCAATGTGCCGGAAGCTGCTTCGATCGCGGAGGGATCCCGAGTAAAACATCGTACGCCATCGAAGGCTTCCTTTAAAGAATACGCGAAAGCCATTCTATCTCGCTGGAACCCAAAGAAGCTAATGTCTACATCATTCACAAAGAAGTCTTCTATCGGCTAACGCCTGGAAGGGCGTAAACATGGATTATTTCACCCCACTCTGCTTTGATAGACCTCTCGCGCATAAATTCCGTGTTTCGACTGAAGTCTCTGGACATTGCAATCCTACTGCTCCGGAGATGAGCGTCTGATTTTCCTTCGGATGATATTGTGCGAAATGTTGAGAGGGGAGCGTGGACTGGGAGCCAATCGCAATCGATCAGGTCACTACGATGCTGGCAGAGAATCTGCGAGCTCGTCCACGAGGAGAGGCGACATCGGTCAACGGGGTGACCAGAGCTCCGAGGCGGTCCCGATAGGAGGGCCTCTCTGATTTCTCGTGTTCTATTTTCCAAGAGGCACCTACGCTACCTAGCGCTCCAACAAGTCCGAGTCGCCGTCGGACTCGGAAGGTCAGAGGGTTACTTTCAGTAAGAGTTCAAATTCTTTCCGCGAGAGGCACCTGTTGACCTTTCCATTCAATGCTAACAAGCATCCGGCAAGCACAGCTTGTCCTCGTCAATGTCAAGAGTGCGACATTACTCCCGTCGCTCCGTCTACCTGAGAGCATGATAGCCTCCGTACGTATTTTGTTGGGATCCCGAATCAACGGCATGACAGAGCGCTATGGATTCACTGAGTCGCGTCGCCGAAAGTCGTTTACCCGAGTGGAAACAGCCTCGCAGTCAGCCGGAGGAAGAGATTCACTTCGACATCGAAGTTCGCAATAGAGATTTTATAGTCGACTTGAGCCGGGCGAATAGGGCTCCCACTCGAATCCACACGGTGGAGTTGTCAGCTTCCGAACTCATCGTCCGCCTCCTATCTGCAGATCTTGCATATGGGGGGAGCATGCGAACATTTGGCTTCTAATTTGATTATACAATGACGGTGCATGAAACTTCGCTTGCAACCCCTACCTTGTACATCGTCGTAATGGGTTGCGTGGTGTTCACAGGATTAAGGATAGAGCTCTGGAACTAGAACGCACTCAGCGCCTACACTGCGCTGACCCGCCCACGGAAATCAAGAAGGGAAGTATCCGCCTGATGAGGAACATCCTTCGCCCATACCGACGCATAGGAGGATGCTTACATGCTTCCGATGATTGGCAGTCGAGCTGTCTGATTCGCTAGTTGAGAGAGTGTGCCGCAATTTTCGAGTATACCGGAGCTGGCGTCATCGAACAAGGTGGGGCATTGTCGAACAACATTGTGTGGGCTCTTCCTTGTTTCCGTCCAGACGTGAGCATTTCTGGAAGCTCTGGACCGCTGCTGATGTACGCGTGAGCTGGGTTCGGGGAGACGGGGCCTCGAGAAGGGACGGAGGGTGGAAGCGTTATCGCCTCAATTCTCGGGAAGCTAGAACACAGAATTGATTTGTGAAAATCTTGAGACTGTGTCAAATATCTTGAGTCGACGGACGGGATGAAGTCAATAATCCAGTCCCATAGAGCGAAGAAATCCCTCATAGCGTAGTATAATATCCATTGGGCAACGAGCATTGTGAACCCCCAGTCTATGGATATCGATCACCTAGGCTGCTTGCAAAAGCCCTGCCTACGAGAAGGCTGATCCATGAGGGGCCCGCGAGAGTCCACTACAAAAACTCGGTCACAGCGGACTCGTCTGCGCCCGGCTCCCTCATTACAGGGTCATCCGTATTATTGAAAACAGATTTGTTTACCGTATGGTAACCGTATCGGTTCGTAACGCCTGTACCACATTGCAAAAACACATGTGCATTTTCGACGTGAGCTTTCGAAAATAAGTCCGATACTCTCGAATTGCTTTTGTATGTCGTCTGTTATGAATGCTCGCCGCTGACAGAAGAGGAGCCGCCTCGTGAATTATGCAGCAAGCTCTCAGCCTGGCTCGTCGCGCGAGATGTTGTGAAGTTATTCCGCTCGAGCTTCTACACATAACAACTGCGATTCTCCGGCGGCGGCTCTGTTGGTCATAGAGCAGGCGGTCGCAGAGCCATCGGGACGCTTCGAGCTCCCACGTTGAGATCCTGAATCACACCATTTATTTCTACGACAACATTCTACGACAAAGAACTCCGCTCTGCGTTCTGGAGGGGATCAGATGATGACGCGCCTCCTGGGAGCTTATGCATAAGCATCGCAACAGGAAGAATTCCGGGAGGGGAGGGGGGAAGCCACCGAGACCCCTCACTGCGCGCCTCTGCTCCTCGCATGGAGTGTCCTCCATCGAACATACCAGTGCGGGCTCTCGTCCGACGTCGAACAAGGAACACATCCGATGAAGACTGTCCTCGGAGATCGGACCCTACAGAGCGAACATAAATGCCTGGGCCGCAGTCCTGAACCCGGATACGGCTACATACAGCTAATTCTCTGCTGTGTGCACACACACATCTTTCGTTTACCCGTTCTACGACCGGGGAATCAATTTGTGCTCGCATCCGACTCGCCAGGATGATATTCAGCTGCCGTATTAATAACATTGTTCGTTCCCCATACATTCGTTATTCCGCTCAAGCCCGGCCGCAAATACCCAGAACTGATGATCTTCAGCTGTCTGCACCAGCCGTCCAGATGGGGAACACCAGTCACGATGAGGCGGCACTCCCTATGCTGAAGAAAAACAGTCACGTCATGATTTCACCGCTCGGTCTGGCGTTGAGCCCAAGCATACATATTTGAGGCAGAACCTCATTTCCTGGTAGAGCTATTCAAAGAGCTGGTTCCGCCTCCTGATTTACGCATTAGCTGTGTCCTTGAGAGCTCGAAAGTCAGAGCTCCTTGCATCGGACCTGTCTGGCTTCTGTCTTTTAGTCAATGACCTCCTGTTCTTCTGTGAAAGAGGCAAGACAGCATCGATTGATCCGAGTCTAGTCGTTGCAGATAAGCGGTGGTCTGCTGCCGCGTACCCGAGAGAGAATTAATGGTCATTCCGATCGGGTCACCGACACCCAATTAAGCCGGCGCGGCGGATCCCTCTGCTGGAGGGTATCGAGAAGCCGGAGTGAAATTCAGGAGCATCCACCGAAGATCAGCTACGAGACCGCCGGATTTCGCTGATGAGCTGATATTCTGCAAAGGTGAGCTTCGCGATGGCTGTGCCAACACGCGAGAAAAGTCGCTGGAAGGATGAATGTATGTCTGTCCCCTCTCATAGACGCTACGAAACGACCCAGGGCTTAACGGAGGATTTCAAGATATTCGATTCCACCAAACTAGAGCCTTTCAGTCAGGCAGCAGCTCTGCTCAATTTTTATGAGTATTCTCCCACTCCCGATTCATCCCCCGATTCAATGCTTCCGGCGACGCAGCGCTGTTCTGGTGTCAAGTGTGACGAATATACCAGACATCGGACCTAGCCCCCGAACATCGGAGAGGGGAAGGGGAGGGGGTTGTTTGGAACCCCACTCAAGTGTTCTGGTCGGATCGGATCCCTTCGGTGAGGACGTCGGAGCGTTGAGACTCCAAAGTACGTCCAAGCACAATGTCTACTCATGAAAGTGGTGGGGAATGAAGGTGCGTAAATGAGAGAGATTCCGAGACAGCATTTTGTGTCTATCTCTGGCCAGACATACCCAGTCAGCCCCTGAACACACTGAATCCGGTCTGATCTTCGGGCGGATGAGTTGCCCGTAAGCTTTATCCCCCGACGAATGCCGCTCATTAGCTGTTTTGGTTCCGAGCCATGGCCGGATCGATAGGTCGACCGAGGCTATCTCGACGGAAGGCGGTGGAACTAAACTTAGACCAGGAATATGTATGTGATAGTCCCAACGGCGCAACGTCATGACCCGCAGGGAATTCTGAGGTAGCATACAAGTACTAAATCGCGTCGCGACGATATCCGGTGACATTCTTACACACCTATCACTACCCCGGTCTCGAATACACCACCCAAGCCGCCGACAGGTATGCTCCCGACGCTATTTAAAGCTAATGACCACGTCTAGCGCGTAGCATGCTTTGCCCCGTGAGTCGAACTTTCGGCGGCCGTTTCCGAAGGTCACAGACTCGTGACGAAGAGCGAGCTCGCTCTTTCGGAGACTCGTTCGTATTTTAATTCCTGATTTTGAAA